GGAAGGAAACCGTGACCGAGGACAAGCTGATGGCATAAGATGTAAGTACAACTCCTCCGGTTTCATATGCAAAAAAATTATTGCGCTAGCTCACGTGGTTGCAGTACAGTTACTCTGCTCTCATATCATCTCAATTTAAAATGTGAACATCTGTCTCCTCAAGAGTGTCTCCTCTCTTTTAGGTGTAGATGTGGACCCTACTATGGTGTGTCATGTATCTGTGGTCCTTTGGGTGATCCTATATCCCAACCACTCCTCACTGCATTGCACATCATGCATGACGTTGCTTAGTTTGGGAGTGGGTGCTTTTGTCTTGGGATGAACCACTTTGTTATCTGGGAGTGTTGCTGGTTCTGAATTGCAGAAATTCAGGACTCCTGATCAACGTTTAGACCTGAACCCTTTTAGATAAGAGAGAACTTGATAAGTAAGTCCATTTGCCTTTGACTTAAGGTCCTTAGAATCCCATGAACTTGATGACTGAGGACCTACACGTCAAAATTCCATTCAGAAAAACCTGCATTCAGAAACACCCCACTATTGTCATTTAAACATTCACCACTGTACAAAGTATCAGTAGTGCTGCTTTCCTTAGTAGCTTCAGCAAATTCTATTTTCAGAAAGTATTTTTAGATTATCAGAATCCTGGGTGACTTCTTTCTAGAGATTTTAAGAATTCTTAAAAGATTTTAAGAATACTTGACCTCAAACAAATACTTGATTTGAATTCATCCAGGATTTTTGGCAGATGTATCTATGGTTTCAATTTGAAACTGCTAGGTTGCTTCATTCTTGAGTTATCGCATTTACAAAAAATTATGAAATATTGTCATCACATATTGTAAATAACTGCTCTTCTTGTATGTGTCTTTATTTAAAACATAACACACAATAAACAAAGTAACAGTGTGTTTAATCATGAAGCTGCACAGCATCATAAAACTAAACTTCCTGGCAGAACACTTACCCTACACCGAATTCAAGCCTACAGGTCTACCTAATAAAGCGAACTCTGAGTGTATTTAACTACTTTGCCCTGTTCTTCTCCTCTTCCTCCTCCTTGTTGTATAACAGTGAAGGTCTGGAAGCGGGTTATGAGCAGGTGGAGGTGACTGAACACCTCCAGGCGTGGAGCTGCTGTGTTTGTCCTGATGATACTCTAAACCCACTGCCTGACGGGGAAAAGACACCACTGTAAACAAGTATTAAAATAAGTGCATTCCCTAATGGCGTGGAGCTCGCTGCCTTTCAGCTGCCACAGGTTTTATAAGGCTCTGCTGTGAGAGTGAAGATGGAACCGAGGTAACGTTAAATTGACAGAAGTGTCTGAAAGCTGCTGTTTCAAGTGGCACTGTGCTGCAAGACAAAGACACTGAAAAAACCATTCTCACCCTTACAAACTCGAGATGTCATTTCACAGTAACTAAAAGCTTTTCAAGAACAACGGGAAACTGTGAAAACCAGGAATGGTATTGATATTCGGAGAATCAGGACTTTGACTAAAGGAATCATCAAAAGATCAGAGCTCTGAAACAAAAAAATGTTTATATTTAATTTGTAACTCCATTTTTTGACTCCATGAGTTTACCATTCAAGCCAGTAATTTCACATTTCTAGTGATTAAGATCTAGTTATCCAGACAGATTCATTTCTTTATGTTCAGGGTTATGACAGGCAGCACGGTGGATCAGTGGTTACCACTAACGCGTCACAACAAGAAGCTTGGGGCTTGAACCCTGTCAGAACCTCTCTATGTCACATTCGCATGTTTTTTCCCATGGTTGTGCTGGTCCTGGAGATCCAGTTTCTACCTTTATAAAACATGCCATCTTAGCCGAGGACACTCTCCTGAAAAGAGATTTTACTCTCAAGATTTTCACATTGTGTTTAACCTCCTGAGACCCGAAGTCTTCCACGACATGCATTTTTAATTTCTCTTTGATATTTGGGCTGATTGGGGCCCAATGAATGTAAGAACGAAGAATTACCAGATTTTTTTTTACCTTATTTTTGTTTTTAAGAAAAATAAGAGCCTCATATGAGGATATTCGTTTAAAATTTTGATTGAACAGTAGCAGCATGATGTTATCGTAAGTGGATATCAGGCCCTTGTAGAGCAAAATTGAGTATTTTGGTCTAAATAACCCAAAATGTGATGCCAGGTCCACATATTGTTACACATGGTTAAATAAACATTAACAAACAAATAATTATCTGAATTGCCTTACTTTTCCTTTAACGACAACAGATTGCAAGTAACCAAAATTCAGCTTCTAAACAAACATCTATGTGGAAGCAGCTCTCCACTCAGTGCTGCAGAGGCAGGATTCACATACGAGTCCCTTCAGTGTTTAACAGTGAGCGTGCCTCGTGTGCTATGTCTGCTGGTCATTGTAGCAACACCACATAACTCACAAGGCAAGCTTACAGACTTCAGTTAGAACTAGAAAGCCAAGCTTCCTGTTACTAGCTTTGGTCATTTACGACATTGTGAGTGCTCAGTGCAACAATCAACCTCTGCTTCTCTGAAGATCCCATATCACTCCCGTTTTGGCCTCCCTTCACTGGTTGCCTGTAAGTTTTAGGTTTCTTTTTAAAGTTTTAGTTTTAACCTTTAGGGCCCTACATGGTCAAGCCCCCCCAGTATATATCTGACCTGCTGAAACCACATTGTTCTTCCCCAGCTCTAAGGTCATCAGATCAGAGATTGTTGGTGGCTCCACGCACTCGATTTAAAACTCGTGGTGATCGGGCCTTTTAGGCAGTGGCACCGAGGTTGTGGAATTTTCTCCCACTGGTTTTACGCTGTACAGACTCCATTGATTCTTTTAAAAAGCAGCTGAAGACATTTTTATATGGGCAAGCTTTTAATTAATTTGTTGTATTTTACTGTTTTACATTGTTATTTGTTGTATTTCCATTCTTTTCATTTTTCTTTTTCTTTTTTGTAAAGCACTTTCTGATTTTTATCTGTGAAAAGTGCTATACAAATAAATTTATATTACTTACTTATTTACTCTGACTTTTTTTTCAGAAGTTCTTAAACACTTCAGTTGGAGGAAACTGGACTACATTTTTAGGATCTTGAAGATGTCCCACCACTCATTCACCCTTTCAGTTCTAAGAACTGATGGAGAGTACCACTTATTTAACTTCTAACCAGGTTGTCATGGAGGCAATGCTGCAAGTTGTTGATCAACCATGTCATCAGCACTGAGGTCACATGGGTCTCAGTGTAAGTTGGGGTTGAATCACCTGGGAGGGGATCTCAAGACGGGGTTACAGATGGCTGATGGTGTGCAGGGTTCCTACACAGACAAAAACTAAAGTGCATACACCATCCTATTGTATCAGACAGAACCCTGTCCAAATATGATTTGTGAACAGCACTTGGACTACAAGAGGAAACCACAAAGCTTCTGGTACCAAGAATCTTGTTGCCTGTTTGCAGATTCTACAGATTCATATGCTGATATTCTTACTGTGCAGGTTTTCGTGCTGGGTATGTTATGTCATTTGTCCCCATTTAGCCAAAAAAAAAAAAAAGAAGTGCAAAGCAGCACGTAAACACCTGTTTCTGGATAACACATCTGCACAGGCAGACTTTCTCACCTTTTCTGCATGTGTTTGGTCAGTGAGTCATGCAGAACGAGTGTGATCTGATTATCATCTTGACTGGACATGACCCGGGATACATCTATGTACTGCATGTTTCCAGGCGCACAGCTGACTGCCGGATGTCAACAGCCTTGGTGAAAAAATATGTGCAGCACAGGAAGCAACGAGAATGAGCCTATTTTAGGATTTCAAGTGAAAACTGTACATTAGTTACTCGTGGCATCAGCACAGCCCGTGTGTGCATGTTTGTAGTCCTGTTAAATACGAATACTGTCTAATGCTGAGTTAGTGATTCTGGCTTCAGTATAATTGTTGAGCCTACTGTACATTCGATGTTGTGGCTCATCAATAGACGTCAGTGTTGACAGACTGGGCAGTTTACTGGGGTAAAAACATGTGGACATAGCTAGCTTGACATCGACCTTTCGTTTGTAGACTTTAGCTTGTTAACCACATGCTGAGTCATGAGCCAGTGCTCATTAAAAATCCTCCAAAGGCTCCAACACCTCAAACATGGTCCAGAGGTCCAGTTCAGAGACTGAGTTAGTTGAATTTAAGCCTAGCAGACAGCTAGCGGCTAGTTGGCATCCACCTGTCAGAGACATCCCAAATAATACAAACTTTGAACCTCACTGCAATTTAAACAGGCAACCCAGCTCCCCCCTCACAGTTGTACCAGGCTATAAACATGTTTATTTTTGCTATAAAGTTGGGAATGTTAATATGGGAGTCACTGGGAACTGATTCACTTTTGGACGGAGCTTCAAGTGGACATTAGAGGAACTGCAGCTTTTCCTGGCTCCTTTATGGCCACTTTCAGCTGTCTCTTGATAACGTTTGTGGTGTGAGCTCTATTTTATTTGGATGCCAGCGAGCACTAGTTAGCTGCTATCTGTGTGATACAGTTCATTTACCGTGTTGGTGACTTCTGGCACCAAAAACCAAAGATAGCTTCTGTCAAACTGCAAAAGTTAACGATTCAAAAGTGTCTCCTAGTGACAGCTCTGTGTATCCATACATTTTGTTATACAGTATAAGGTTTGAAGGCACTTTTGCTTCATTTGACAAATGTCACAACCTATCAAGATCAACCTCAGCTTAGTCCACACTCCCCAACAGTTTTGCCCAAATTTGGACTTTCTGACACCTGATTGGCTCCTGGTAAAATATTTATCACTGTGTGAGGTGAACACACAGTCTGAATGAATCTATATCAGTTAGCTCTTCAATGATGTCGGTAACTGCACACAAAGTTCAGAGTGTGTGTGGAAATAGTCTTGTGCTAACAGTGTGTGTGTGTGTGTGTGTGTGTGTGTGTGTGTGTGTGTGTGTGTGTGTGTGTGTGTGTGTGTGTGTGTGCGCCCACGTGTATGAGCAGATGGGGGGAATACCATGGCACTGTTATCTGAGATGGTTGATATGAGTGTGTATGTGTGTGTGTCTTTAACCCATGATATCAGAGTGGAGTTATGCAAAGCGCTGATTCATAATTCACATGTCTGAGTGTTGGATGGCTGCAGGCTCCACCATTGTTTCCACTGCAGCGAACACACACACAGTCAGCACACGGAACTCACACTCTCCTCCTTGACCTTCTCCATGGTGCAAGCAGGCAGCTGCCCCTGCAGTGGCGGTGGGGAAACCCCGTTCTGGTCCATGGCAACAAACAGCTTCCCGTTGATGTTTAGAGTCGGATAAAAAACCTGGAAACACAAAAATCACAGAAGCATAACTACAGTGCCCCAGGAGGGACAAAATATTGTAAAGAAAAAACTCCATAAAGTGGAAAAAAACAGAAGAATCTCTCGGTTTATAATGATACATTTACAATTTGTGAAGAAAAGAAATTAGAATTTAATTATGTGATTAGATTAATATGGTGTATGGTACAGCCTGAAGAAGTCACTTGGATGAACGATGGAACGTTTCTCCCAACGTTTCCGAAAACATTTTGCCCAGATGAACAGAATCAACTTTCTGGGAAGAACTACAATAATCTGAGAGATAAAAATGCTTCATTAAAAGGCTCTCATTGCCACACATGAGCTGTTACGCTCACCTGGGAGCTCCGGCTGGCCGTGCTGTAGGTGCTCGGCCTCCGTTTGGGCCACGGTTGGGGCAGGATGCCGCTGAAGGTTCCTCCGCTGTAGGTTCGACTACCGACGCCCTCCACCACGTCGCCCGGTACGCTGTACTCGTCATCGGCCATCTCTCCCTCCGACCCTCGGCTCCTCAGTCGGAAGTTGAAGATGGAGGAGACCTGACTGCTTCTCCGCGTCCTTGTGGAAAAGGAGCGTGCGAGGAGTGGGTGGAGCGGCTGGAGGAGGAGGGGGGAGTAACGTAAAGTTTTGCACCGAACATAAACAATATTAAATCAGATCTTTCTCCACTGACCTTTCCACCATCAGTCAAGTCCACCTGCAGAAGCTTCTCCTCAGATAGGTTCGCCTCCACGTCCCCCACGCCCATTAGCGCCTGGCTCCGCCTTCGCTCCTCAAAGCTGTCCATTGGTTGGCCGAAAGGAGAGAGGTCTGGTGACATCAACGAGTCAGAGTCGGTAGCTTTTTGGGTGGCACCCTGATGAAAGAATTAATAATTAATACTCATATATTAATACATTTTCATTCATAAATGAGAATAAAGGACAGAAGGTGAAACAGAAGCCATGAAAACACTTATTTAAACACTCATTAGTTCACCTTTGTTGCTGTATTATTTTCACTGAAACACAGCAGTAACTGAGTTGGATTTATATCATTTATTTTACTTATAATTCCTGTACAGAGAACCAAAACTGCAAAAATAAAAATAATCCATTAATGTGACTCTTAAAAGAGCAATATTAAAAAAATCACTGATTTATTAACAATGACTTAAACTGATATTTGCTTTCACTTGTGTGTTTATTTGTAAATATTTACCTTTTTTTAAGGATATTATTTTATCTCCTATTTGGTTTATGAATCGTCTCAGTTTACAAAAAAACACTCTTTTGCTTTTAAAATTTGACTCGATTATTTTTAAAATTAGATTCATTTTCCCTTATTATGATGATTATTGTTATTATTTTTGACATTTTCATTTTGTATGTATGATTAATCATGCAAATGATTAAAACAGCCAACTTTTCCAGTGAGTAATATACATTTTAATTTCCATTAAAAAAAACCTGGAAATTGAAAAGTGTTATACAAAAAAAATAAAGGAAAACAATACAAACAAACAAACAACCCCACAAGGCAAAACCTTTGCTGACTATTTTCTCAATATTTATTTGTTAATCATCATATGATTGTAACCTTCTTCTCTGTATTATTGTTGGGTCTACCTTACAACGTAAAGCGCCTTGAGGCGACTGTTGTTGTGATTTGGGGCTGTATAAATAAAATTGAATTGAATTAATTTATTAGATATTTTGGCAGTTTCTGACCTCCACAGTCCTACACCGCACCACATGCTGGAAAATCGAGCACATCAGATCATCAGTTACCTGTTGCTCTTTCTTCAGTATCTCCATAGCTTGCTGAAACTCCCGCTCTTTCTGGCAGGCCTCGGCGATGGTCGCCTGGTTCTGCTCCTCGTACGCCATGGCGACGACGGCCAAGATGAGGTTGACCAGGTAGAAGGAGCCCAGGAAAATCACCACCACGAAAAACACCATGTAGGTCTTACCGGCCGAACGCAGCGTCTGAAGACGCACACGTGGCGGGAATAAAATCGATGCTGACTGAAGTGCAACATTAAAAGTGAAGCAACACGGCTAATAAAACCCAGCTGGCTACAACAAGAAATATGCTTCATTTCACAGAGTGGTCAAAGTAAAGAACAGTGTCTCACAGATCCTTTGTTCACTGTGTGGAAAGTGAACACATGCCCACTGCATGTAGTATTATTAAACATAGTTACAGTGATGCACTGAGGACACCAAAGTTTCACAGAAAATTCTTTTTATGCATTTTTATCCTGCCTGCAGTTTCTGCCCATGGTTGCACTGACATGACATCACAATTGTGAGAAGGCCAATCAAATTCTGGATAAGGGACAGTGCCACCCCCAGCCCCGCCTTTAGCCTCAGCCCTGAGTCGAGAGTCTGACGCCAAACTTGTGTCAGAATGACATAATGTCAGGATGAGAACACGCTGAATTAGACACAGTCTAGATGTCTGTGTAGGCTCTTAGCCCCAGTCTAGATTAGACACTGGAAGAAGAGACACTTTATAAACTTCAATCCAGGTTTTCTCTGACTTTAACTGATCGATTGGTCATAAGGCTTACCTGGTGGTAGAGGTTTTCCCAGTAGTCTTGCGTCATCAGACGAAACAGGGACAGAAAGGCCCACCCAAAGGTGTCAAAGCTGGTGTAGCCATAGTTGGGGTTTCTTCCTGCCTTCAGACAGACAAACCCGTCCGGACACTTTCTGCAGCACAGACACAGAAACATAACGTGACTCTTAAAAGCTGTTTCACTTATTATCAGCAGAAATTTTTACATATAAATATTTTTTGTGGATGTTCAGGATGTCGTTTTGAGGACTTTGGAGTTGCCAATCATGATGTGATCGGGGGTGGGCGGTTATGTAACTGTAACTACTGTTTCTCTGAAATGTGTGATTTTGGGAAATCTAACACCACTGGTTTGTGCAGAAAGTAGGTGTAGGGACATTTTGAAAGCTGAGACAGTTCAGAGGATTCAAAAACACCGTCTGTGTGTCTCTCTGCCATCTTTCCATCCGTCTTTCTATTAATTCTGTGCAAAAAACAAGAAACCAAAAAAACGCTCTGTTTCCTCATCGGTGTTTACGACCGAAGGCTTGTTATGGTCATGCGATTGGGACCCGCCCACACGTGTCGCCGCAGAGACGGGGCAGATAGCACCGGGAAGGCATTCATCATAATTGATATTCCACATTCATATCCCGTCACATTCATCGCCGCCCACGCGGTCACATCTGAACCGCTGATGCGCAGCAGTCCCATGGGTGGCGTGCTGGTCAGTGGAGGGAAGGCTGCTGCTGCCCACAGCAGCTTACAGTGGGACAGACACTGAGACCAGATGATTACAAATTATTAAGTAGGAGGGAAAAGGTCAGAGGTACAGAAACCTGAACATATCCCTTCATATCGCTGATGATTAAACGAGGCACGCCGGGGACTAATCATGCAAAACTCAAAAACAAGTATTCATTCAGATTTTAGGTAAAGTGACTCTGCTGTGACTCAGAACTGAACAAAGTTACTTTTTTGGCCTTTATTATGCAATCAGACAGAAGAGGTTTGCAATCAAAACAATAAATCAGAGAGCAAAGCTGCAGACACCACACACAGAAATATTAGCGGGTGAGCCCAGAAGTTCGATTAGACAGCCGACAACCACGAGCGTTTGAGATGTTACAACCATCAGCCACATATAAGGCGGTCTTCAGATCCTAGGCAATTCAACCCCAACTCACACCTTGACCCATGTGACTGAGTCACACGATGGTGGGTCGGCTCAATGCCTCTCAGGACCACCTCTAAGGTTAAAGGCCCACTAAACTAGGGTCCGCTTGCGTCACTGAAACGTAAATGACATTATCAGACAGAGGGTCTGCCTGTGTTTTGTGATTGCACGGACTTGTCCACTGAGAATTTACATTATAATGCATCAACTACACGTGCACCCAAGCAGCGGACTTCTGTCAGGTTTCCAGCTGTCTGTGTTTGCAGCCAAGTACTTTCCAGGATTAAGGCCTGATTTAGACTTCCTGTAGAGCCTGAGACATAACCTATATAAGTAGCAAACACTGTGGCCAGCATTAATGCTGGTACGGATGCTCTATGTGTTAATTTTATTGACATTAGTCCAATAGTTTGAGTCCTTATAATAATGCTATGACTATTATTTTTAAATCCTGAAGCGTAAATTCAAAGACTGAGCAGAAAAGTATCTGGACATGCACAGGAGGAATCAACGCTATTGAACAGGCCAATCGCAATAGCTGCAGGTCGCATTGACACAGCGTGTACTTACATTTGTAGGGATGAGCTGAGACGTGAAATGTAACTATGCACCTAACACCAACAAGACCAGCTGTCTTCAATTCAAGGACAACATTCACAGTCTTCTGTATTTTATGCTATACAGTATATTAGTCATCTAAACAATAATTCATTCAAAACAATGCCAGCAGCTACAAGCTGACAGACTGATGCGGATGCAGAGTGACAGATCACTTGAGATCACAATAGAGACACACAAGTATTTCCATACACAGCTCAGATCCACAGTCAGAATGTTGTATGCTGATTCATATTAATGTTTTCACTAAACACGCATAAAATGATCGGCGAACAGATAAAACACGGTGCACAACAAACAGCATTAAAACGACCCAGTTATTTAAAAGAAAAGATTTAATTCTCTGGAGCCAACGGACACATCACCACGTCCGAGTCACGTGATTGATTTAAGACGACCTAGCTGTGAGATGCAGCCTCGCTGGGTCTCCGTTTCAACCTGTGTTGAAAGTGCAAACGTCACATTTTATACCAGTTTTTAATCCTAACGCCATCCATCCCTCCATGTCTGCACATACCAGCTGTTTGTATGCCCACATTCAAAAACAGAATAAATAAATACATAAATAAAAAAATGAGGCCACTTTCAGTTGGTTAACAAAGAGTTACCAGAGCAGGTGCTCTGCATACTTCATCTGGAAGGTTTCTTATGCCAGATGCACAAAACCCCAAATGCCAGGGCCCAATGGGGTTTTTTTTCTAGACATACAATTTGTCCTCAAGAAAAGGCAAAATCTTTGGGTCCTTTCTGGGCTCAGATGGAGGTCAGCAGATTTTTGGAGGATATATGATGGTACGATCCACAGATTAGAGTGAAACAGACTGTCTTGTGCAAATGTTCAACAACTGGAGCATAAATTCTGTCACAATGCCCTAAATAATTCATTCATTCATGTCAAAAAATGTAGATTGTTCACTTTTAAACCGAAGAACCAAACCGTGTTCAGAAGTTGAAGACGTGTCACACCTGTGGGTTTGTTACCTGGTACAGAAGTGGAGGAGTTATGATGCATGCAGGCGAGCGTGGCATTAGCAGAATCACGACCACCACGCCATCAGCAAAGCTCTGGTTGAACAAAGCTCTGAGTCACAGAGGAGCTTCAAGCTGAGTCACAGAAAAGACTGCCGCTGTGCAGAAGCTATCTGGGGAATCAAACCGACAACCACACGGTCACAAGCCCACTGCGGTGACCCGGCCTGGCTGGCGCCGCCCCCGCTGGGCCGCTGCCACCACAGCTGGGATGCTTTTGAGTAGCGGCTGCCGCTGACTCATCGCCGGCCAACCCGCCTGTATGTGTTAACGCCTTACTCCCCAACATTTGGTGAGTGCTGGTGATGGTAATTCATTAAGGACACGTGTAAATAAACGATCCAGTTACATAAGGTTTACATAATGCAGCTGGGAGCGCTTCTACTTCTGCACAAAAAAGACAATACTGTAGTTTAAAAATCATCCATAACAAACGAAAAAACACTTACGCAACGTAGATAATGGCAACTAATGCATTTCAACATGACTGCCAGTAACATCTGAATTTATTAAAGTTGATTTGCTGCATGAGTTTACAGGAAGAGCCCGTTACAGGTTAACAAAAAAGGCAGAAATTGTGGTTTATAGCAGGTAAATGATGGAGAAATTCATAAAGCATTACAGTTTAATGCAGCAGATAGGACGCCTTAGTCCTAAATATTTACACAAACCAGCGTGAGTCATCACACTGCAGTGAAGACATGCTGTATTGACCCACGCCAGGCTGTAATTGGTCAGTAATTATTACAGTCTCCACAACCGACGCGGGCCCATTTTCAAAAGCTTTTTCTTAACAGCTCCTAATTCTAAATTTGGCCTTTTTTTTCCTTTGCCTTTTATAACTTTGAACATCATCATCATCATCTGCATGTCAAGCCCTCACAGTCCAACACATACACGCTACTTAGGTTCTTCTTTCAGGTTCTGTGTTAGGGGCGATCACGGCTTAAGAGTTGGGAGTTTGCCTTGTAATTGGAAGGTTGCCGGTTCGAGCCCCGGCTCCAACAGTCTCGGTCATTGTGCCCTTGGGCAAGACGCTTCACCCGTTGCCTGCTGGTGGTGGTCAGAGGGCCCGGTGGCGCCTGATTGCAAAAATCTTAACTCAGCACAGATTCAAACCTGTAAAGTTCAGCAGCTGATCCCACAATCACTGATATTTCACATTTAATTTTCTGTCATTAAACTAACACAATACACACTTTCCAAGGTTCAACTAATAGATGCTCCCTCCCAGAGCCCTGGCATAGACCTTTCTAAACATAATCCATAATCACTTTAAAATATAGATCATGCATTAAAACAACAAAAAAACAAACAAACAAACCACAAATGACTTGAAAAAATCTATTTTTGAACAGGAATTATGCTAATTATCAGTCGTAGCTGTTATGATTTGTCTAAAAACCCAGCACAGCTTTGCGGGGGTCTAAAAACTCCTCGAGCTCGGTCCTTTAAGTCAGCGGTCCCCAACCCCCGGGCCTCGGACCGGTACCGGTCCGTGAGTCGTTTGGTACCGGGCTGCGAGAGTTGAGGCTCAGGTGTGAAATGTATAGTTTTCAGGGTTTTTATCGGTTTTCAGCCTTATTTTGTTATCGTTTTGATCGTTAACTCGGTTTTCCTGGGTCTTTTCACGTGTGTTATGAATAAATCTTCTTTTTTTCAGTACAGGTACTAGTTTTATTTTGTTGTATTTATCTGCGACACTTTAAAGGCCGGTCCATGAAAATATTGTCGGGCATAAACCGGTCCGTGGCGCAAAAAAAGGTTGGAGACCGCTGCTTTAAGTGCTTCAAATGTGCAGGGCTGTGGCTCTGTGAACATGGACTCTCAGGAGTGGAGCTCAGAATGACGGATGCTTGTCTGATCTGTGACAGCACGGTTTTTCAGACTCTCACACTTAAAAATCTTCATGTAAACATCTTTGCCATCTTCAACCAGGGAGAAAATGTGAGCAACACCATTTATGTGAGTCCTAATAAGTGATGAGGTCATTTATTTGGGTGGATTTCAGCTTCAAAACAAATCAGATCAAAACAGATCACTGATAATGTTACAGCAGCATTTACCAGACAATCCCTCAGATCAGCACTTATGCTAAAGGCGACTGGACTTATTTTTCTGTTAGATCTGTTTCTTGAAGAAGTTGAAGCAGTTCCTTGATCTAAATGTGACACATGTGAAGAACACTGCGAAATAAAGGCCTCAGCTGTCAAGTGGACTTGAACCACGGTCCTTCTTGCTATGATGCAACTGCGCTAACCACCAGACGACCGCGCCACGTGAGTTCTCTCTGGTACTCTGGCTTCCTCCCACAAACATGTCCGGCAGGTT